TGTCCCCGGGTCGGGACCCGCCGTGAGAGAAACGTTGAGTTTCTTTGTTGTGTAACTCTTTCCTTCTTTTTTTACGTCTCAACGATTAGATTCTCTCGGCTGGGTCGTTGTTTTTTTTTTTTTGTTTTGTTTTTTTTTTTTTTTTTTTTTGTGGCGGTTGTGTTTTTTGTTGTGCTTTATTTTGGGGGGTTGTTTTTTTGGCTGTGTTTTTTTGTGTTTTTTTTTTTGTTTTAACGGCGGGGCAGTCACGGGTGAATGACTCTCTTGAATAGGATGTCGGGTGAACTTTCTTGTGACTTTTCGAATTTATTATTGGCCGCTTCTCTGAGGAGCTCCTGAACAGCTTTCCAGAAGCTCTCTGGATAACGTGAGAAGGCATTAAAAATAAGAAATAAATAAATAAAACTAGCGCTGGCTTGTTAGAATAAAACCATTTCTCGCTGAAATGAGTCTGGCCAGCAGCCCGGGGTTTCATCTCCAAGTGCTACTGCCAGTATGTTTTCAATAAACCTAATTGCATTCAAGAGAGTTTTGGGTCGAACACTTTAATGAGGGAAGCAGGCACCGAGGCGTTGGAAAAGCTCCTCTCTTGTTCTGCCAGTGGTTCTTTTGGGGTTTTTTGTTTTTCTGGCCGCAGAATGTTTGTAGTTTCTCGCAGCTTTTCTCCCCAGCTGTCTCCTAAGTTTCTTTCTGAAAAGTCTTACTCACTTGGTTTGGAAATGCTGAAGGAATGCTTTCCGTGTGCTGCAGTGATCCATTTCTTTATCTTTCTTGCTGAAAGCAAGAGTTTGTAACATTTGGTATTTTTTTTTAACCTGTTTTGTTTCTGTGGGGAACGGTCTATCTCTTCTCCCCCCCATATAAGACTAAACCAGCCCCAATTCAGAATTAACCATAACCAAGGCAGCCCACATCCCTGCTGGGGAAGTGGGAAGTGTTTTTCTGCCTTTAGCTTTAGGTATGTGTCAATGTTGGGCTCTCAGGAGCAGCCCAGGAAGTCTCACCATCCATCCTGATGAGGAGTCATAAAGCCTGTGGAAGATCTGTTACTAAAACTGGGCTGCAAATGTGCTAATTTTGTATCATCTGAAGAAGTGATAAGTCATTCCTGACAAGAAGATATAGAGCTTTTTCAGGGCCCTACTGCATCTTCCAAAAAAGAAAAGTCATCAAGGAATTGTGAAAGTTTTCCTGTAGAGTTGCTAGCATGGTATCACACACAGAATAATTGTAAGAAAAGATGAAAAATCAGTTTCTACATTTGACATATGGTTTTAAAAACTTCTTTTTCAGGTTTGAGTTGCTCCTACCAACTGCAACCATGGTACAGAAGTATCAATCCCCCGTACGGGTGTATAAACACCCTTTTGAGTTAATTATGGCTGTAAGTATTAATTTTTTCTGTTATTTTCTTCCTTGGCAGTTCCTTGTGTTGCTAAGTAGTTACTGAGCTCTGTTTGGTAGGTACTGTAGAATATACAAATCTGAAACTATATGCAAAATATGAGGGGTATGTGTTTTCATGGTTTCTTCTCTGCGGGGAGTATTTTTTCACATTGTGTGTTCTCTTCTTCTGAAGTTTAGATATAGTTAATAGATTTATTTTAATGTTAGAGCAAAAGTGGGCTCAAAGAGTTATTTCCCAGTTGATTGCTGGGAGCAACCTATCCTAGCTTTGGAGAGTGCATTGAGTACATTGATTAAAAGGTTGTTGTGGTTGCATCTTCATCTGTGTAGATTTTACAGGACTGGAGAGCACAGAGCCACAAAAGCAAGGATAAGCCTTCAAGGAAAAGGAGAAAGTGTTCTGAGAATTGGTGATACTTTGGAGAGGAAAGAAAAAAATACTGCTATGGAGGCCAGATAAATGACCAGGTGCACTTTTTGGGTGCAGGGCTGCTAATTTGTGCTTTAATGTTACTACTACTAATAAAATAAATCCCAGTTAGCTTGCCTCTTCTCTCTGTCATTCCCTTCCTTTTTTTCCTTTAGAAAACAGAAAGGAAGTAGGTATTTGACATGTTAAATTATATTCAGCCAAAACCACAGCTGTGTGGCTCTTGGGAGTAAGGAAGAGCAGTTGAGAAGGGTAGTCAGGTCAGCTTCTACATGATAAGAGCAGTTTACACTAAATAATAATCTAAACAGTACTAGTTTTGTTTCATTTGCTGAAAATATTATGTTTGGTGGCTTCAGAGGAGAGTTTTAATAGTGTTCACAGTGTAAATATTTAGATAGATCACATGGTTTGAAGTGCAGAGTTCCTTACAGAAGTGATCTTTCACAGTCACAGGGCAAAAAAGGATTCTATTACTGTAAGAGGAATACTTCAGTTTCATTTTATCTAATTTCTGGAATTGCCTCCAGTGTTACACGTGTAGGACTTGCTCTTGCAAGCACTTAAAGGCAGAGAGTGGTTATTTCATGAGTGATGAAAAATCTGTGACAAGTTGAAGGTCTTTTAGGACCTTACTGCACTTACTGACAGCTTAACTTCAGATGATTTCTAATATAAATTTGATTGCATGTGTAACTTTGGCTTTCAGTGAAGTAAACTGGTTATTGCTCTTAGATCAGTCAATAAAAATTAGTTTCTTGGACACAATTCTCTGGCTGTTTGAACTGACAAGTCTTTACTTTGCTGTTAAATTAAACGCAAAAATTCTTTAAGTTCAATGATATTTTGAGTTAAAATGCTGACATCGAGACTTTTCATGATGCTTTATTGGGTGTAATTAGAAAAACTTCTGACTATTAATGTTAACTTCAGGTTCTCAAACTGTTCTGTAACTTGAGGGTAACATTTGGAGAGCAATCTTTAACAAATCCTAAGTCTTTTCTTACATGAAAGATCTTTTTCTCCTGTGGAAAGGAAGAAGTTACACTGTGTATGTAACTTGGAGAAAACAAGAGTTGAAAAATTAGAACAGTGAACTAGAAGAAGAAGAATGTTTCTAGAAAGCATCATCTGAACAGGATGCAAGAGTTTAGATTAGTGATAATATGTGTGATTTATTCTGTCTGTGCCAGGTCAGCAAGTTATCCCTTGCACTTGTCCAGAATGTGATCACTGGATGAACATCCTTCTCCTGCCATGTCACTTCTGTTATGCTTTTGGGTTTTAAAATATGGAAAGTTCCTTGTGGTGATCTATCAAAACTGGTCATGCATTTTCTGAAGGATGTGGAGGAGTGCCTCCATGAGCCAAATTCTTTAAAGAATGTAAACAGAATATGATAGTTTCATGCCTTTTCTTACTGTTTTCCCTTGGTTGAATGGTGATTGCATAAGTTGGTGAAGTATTTCTGGAAGGAATATTTCTGTCAAGTGTTGTGCTCACTGAAGTGAAAGTACTGTTACATATTCTCAACCAAAAAGTGTTATGTTGTTTTAACTGTATTAGCAGCTCTTCTGAAATGAGGAATACATCCTGGTGTGTGCCAAGCTTGAATTTAAAACACCCTGCTATGTTTTTAGAGGTTTTTTTCCTCTGTCCCTGTCTTTCATATGCATCCGACCTTTGAGAGAATGGGACCTCAAATAGAGGTTTAAACCCCGACACCTGAGATGCTCAGCTGTCAGTAAAAAGCCTCTTGAAGAAACCTTTGGTCAGTGTGACAGCAGTGTTCTTTATGCTGAGATGCCTAACAAAACCCACAGTTTTGAGCTTGGGTGCTTTAAAAAAAATTTAGTTGGAAAATCGTCCTCCATTCCCAGGTTGTTTCATGGAACTGAAGAGGTAATAAATTCTAGAGAGTAGTAGTGAAGATCAGCAGTGTCAGCGAAGCCCATGTGGACTGTAAAGATTTCCTGGATGATGTGTGCTCCAACTACAAATTGGAGCTCATTAAGTCAAACTAATATTTAGATTTTGAATGGAGAAATCAGCATTAAATTCTTCTTTTCTCAAGCAACCAAGTTGCAGAATGGGTCACTTCCACTACAAACTTCCTGTTTGCCCACTTCTACTTTCCTGGGTTTGAAAGAGATTCTTAAGAGACAATCAAGTACAATCAACATTCCATTCATGCTGCTCTAGTGTGTTGTGAGAGAACTTTGTTCTCTCCATGAAGGGTGAGTGCAGCTATATTAAGACAAAAATCTGGATTTAATTTCTTTTTGATCCAAACTAAGTTGACAAGTTTTTTGCAGACCATTATGCTATACAGACTTTTAAAATAGACACAGTGAAAATTATTTTTTCTAAGTTGGTGTTGAAAAAAAGATTCTCTTGTGCTCCTCCACTGAAATAGAAAAATAATCTATTGAATGTATCTCTGTGACAATATATTTCAAGGAACCACCCCTTATCTCTCAAGTCTGAGGGAACTGTTGGAGGTAGCAAGTTGGAAGAGCTGTTGCTGCGTGCTTCTTGCCTTTCCCTCATCATTAAGGGCAAATGATAGAAAATCTAAGCTAGTTCCCCTGAATATTTCCTTTTACTGGCAAATTGTGTGGTTCCAGATCATATCCAAGTTGCTTCGAAAACAGAACTGAATGCAGATCTTTTCATGAAACTGTCTCCTGAACATGAGAAGATTCAAGAATCACAGGCTAGAAATGAGCAAGTTTTAGTCTAATTCAAGGCAATTATGATTTCACCAAATGGTTAACAGTGCTGACATGATGACTTTTGGCTGGTGTATCTGACAAAACCAACTTCTTGAAAACTCTCTGCTTCTGTATATGTATTTATATTTATTTTTAAAACCCTGAACAACCAACTTGCAGAGCTGTTCATCACACTCCTCATTTTTCCTCCTATTCGTGTTGGAGTTTACGTAATGCTGGAAGCAGCTGAAATGTGGAAAAATGACTGTTTACTTAGACTCACTGGTCAAGTTACCAAGGTTAAATATATTGGAGAAAAACTGAGAAGCTGCTTTTATAAAACTTTTAAAGATTATGGATTCAATTTTTAATATTAGCTTAAAGTGGTTTACCTTTAAAGTAACACAGGGACTGCTGAATAAGTAGTTCTTAATGTTAAAAGGCAGTTAAGAGCTTGAAGCTTTCTTACCACACATGAGTCTAAAATTAACTTTGGAGATTCACAGCTCATTTTTATGCATTAGATAATTCCCCTTCAGTTTAATTTCCAAAGCAAATTTAAATCATGGAATTGTCAAGAGTTGGAAGGGACCTCTAGACATCATCTAGTCCAACTGAAATAATGAATAATCAGCTGCTGTGACATTCCAAGGGTGGAATTCATGCAAATGGAAAATAAGATTTCTAAAAGAACCACCTGGAATTGAACCACTGACCAGAGGGTTTGGGGTTTTTTTAGTGGAAAAACTATTGCTCCTCAGCCCTGATAAAGAATGTCCTATTTACAGCTACAAATGACTTGGTTTCAGAAATAAATATGAATAATAACACAGCTAGTGTGCTCTAAACCTGTCCTGTTATGTTTAGTCAGATTAATGTAGATTTTAACAACTCATGGCTTTGTGAAAACTAAGATTTTCAAATCTGCCTGTGACAAGAAGCACTTGCAAAGGTATTTTGCAGTGTTTTGAACACCTAAAATAATGTTCCCACTTTGTTAAAGCTCCTGGCATTTGTTTGCTTCCAGTGGTGCCAAGCAATGAAGAGAAGTCATGGATGTCAGAAGCTTGCAGTTGTGGAAAGAATGCATTTAATTTTTATTTTACAATAAAAATAGTCATCTTGACATGCCTTGAGGCTGAAAAGTGCTTGCTTCCAAACTGTGTATGCTCATGAAAATCCTTAAAAAAAAAATATTGGTCTTATGTTTTCTCTTTCTTCTGATAGAATATCTAAAGTATCTAAAGCACAAATCTTTCTTAAATATAATCTGTAGGGCCCTTTTTATTGTATTTTAATTGTAATGATTCAAATTTACTGCTTTTGGACAACAGGCTGTCTGGTGTTATTTTTATAGATCTGAAAAAAACAGTGTTTAAATCTCCATGATTTAAAATATCCTTAAATTACAGGAAAGTAATAAAATTGCAGATGGCATAAATTTGCTTGAATGATAGAGCAGATTAGAAAACATGTCTGTTTTTTCAGACTGACAAATCAAAGCATAATCCCTTGATCTAGATTGTGGTAAGTTTCCTGATCAGGCAGTTACATCCTATTTCCATTGTAAAGTTTATTACTTTAAAATGTCTTTTTAAAAAACCAAACCACCACAAAAAAAAAACCTAAGTATCAAGTGCCACACCTGCTCGTAAGTCCCTGCAGTTTTTCTTCCTTCTGGTCTCATTTTCTTTGTCTTGGAAAAAGTGCATTCCACATCTCAATGTGAAGGGGGCCTGAGAGGCTGGTGAGAAAAAAGAAGCTGTTCTCCAGGTGCTTTTGGGAGCACAAAGTTGGTTTTAATTGTAAAGAGAGTTACATTATCCCCCTGAT